GACAAAAGGATGCCCTGTAAACTGAAACATGAATGTGTAAATTGGGGAAATGATTTTGCAAATACAAAGAGAATTTTAAAGTTACTACAGTCTCTACTACTAGATGTTTGAGTTCCCCCAAACTCTCCTCCCCAGAGTACACAACTCAGAGGGAGTTCCACCGATGGAGGGAGGGGCAGATGCATGCACAGATGACTCGGCCAAGGGGATGAGGTGATGGCTGCCTCCTGACTGCAGGAACTACTCCCCAAGCCGCCATCCAGTTCTTCTATGCCTTTTTAATCATTAACTTCTTCCACACTCCTGAGATTGTTCCTGCTATCACTGCAGATTGAACTTTTTCCAGAAGCCAGTGGCTTCCCCAGCCAAAGTCCAAGAAGGGTCAAAGAAGCCTGCTAGTGTTGAGGGTGGAGGATAAACAGGCCAGAGTCTGTGGCTCAGTTAGGTGTTAGTTGGCTAGGGCCCTCCTGCCTTTTGGAGTCAGAGCAGACCCTGAAATTCATTCTGGGTTCACGGGTGCCTCCTCGTGGCTGCCATGCAGCATCTCCAAGTTGAGAGGCTCCAATGGGCCCTCGTTCACCTGCAAGGCTGCGCAGCAGGTTCAAGAAGAGTCTCTGGGAGATGCTTCTATCAGAAGGCCCACCATCCTACTAGAAAGCTGCCCCCTCTTCTTCACCTCCTAAGTACAGGTGCACAGACCCTCCAAGCCACTGCTCCTTTTGTCACTTACCTAGACTCTCCCCTCAGCGCCTCAGGTGAGATGAAGTGGCAATGGTTGTAATTTGAAGCGGCCAGGAGGGCTCTCCAAGTGGCACCCTGTCTCCCTAGGAACTTCCTCCATTGGAAAATGGGGGATGTCGAAGGGGTCTGGGGCTACAGCTCAGGGCCTATAAATTAAGCCATGGTAAAGTGGCTTCCCAGGCCAAACCCCAGACCAATCTTGCTCAAACCATTATTTCCAAAAGGGCACACACCTCATTCAAAAACTTCAAACAGCTCAGTGCTCTCCTACTGTGCTAAGCCCAAGTCTCAGCTGGCTTTCAAGGCCTTCTCAAAACCAGACTGATGGGCCCAGCAAATGGATTTCAGATTCCCATGGGTCCATTTTTCCTATCTCAGTGACTTTGCTCCTAACTGGTAACCCCTACACTGGAATGTGGGCACACTTCCTTATCCACCAACCAGGAACCTTGTCCAGGGACAGGTTCTGGGGCCGAAATCTCCCCCTATGAATTTTCAGGACCTTGAACATTCTCCCATCCTTTCTCCCACCCACCTCTAGATAGTAGTCTCTTTCTCCTTCTCCTCCCTTTCTCTCACTTGCAGACTGCAGGCATTAATTAAACCTCTTCTACAAAACAGATTTTCACCAGCTGCAGGAATTCTGAGCCAGATCTGAAGACAGAGACAATCTGGGTAAGAAAGATAAGTTCGTGACAGCCAGGGGCAGCGCAGGCTTCCACAGTCAAGTGGTAGTCTCAATTTTAGCCCTTGCCAGATTCCCGAAAAAAAAGGGGACATGAGGTGTTCCCACCCCCTCAGCACTTGGCTGTACTGCCTGGGGCTGGCCTTTGACAGATGCATAAGAGCTGGACCTTGCCCGATCTGCCAGTGGGTCATAGCCACCTCCAAGAGACCAAAGCACTGGCTCAAAACACCAACCTCCCTCCCACCAATACAGCTGCAAGCCATAGAGCCAGGAATGTGCAAGAAGAGGCACTCCCAGCCCGCCACAAGAAGCAACACCTGTGGGGCTCTGCAAGTGGTACCCTGTCTCCCCGGGAGCTTCCTCCATCAGTGGGCAGGGATAGCAAATGTTAAAGGGGACTGGGACTACAGCTCTGGGCACTCTAGGTGAAGCTGTGGTGGGCTCAACCCTCAGCAGACAAACTTAGTAGCTCCCAAGGGTGCCCACCACCACCCACCCCAATTCTTGAATGAAGACAACTGATTTTCTTCATGGAAATCCTGGAGACCCTACTGAGGTTAATGACCCACCATCAGAGCCTGATGTGTAGATCGCACTCCCTGCCCCAAACACACACAAAAATGAGTTTGTCTCTAGTGATACGACACATTAAAAAAAAAAAAAAAAAAACTGCTGAATTTAAGGGTAACATTTTGAATGAACAGTGTCGCAAAGTGTAGAAGATATTGGTTGTGAATTCAGACTAATTCACGGGGGCATCCATTTTTTTTCTCACAAACACTGAGCACCCGATGTGGTAGATGGGGCCGAGGGAGGCGGGGAGACCAGGCAGGGACCTAGGGCCCCAGAGATGGTTCCACCCATTCCTGAAGATGCTCCTGCACAGTGAGGCATCTGACAGTGACTCATCGCAGAGTGGTGTAGGGAGGGCCAAGGAGAAGCCCACAGGAATTTCTGGACAGTCAGAGAGACCCTACTGAGCCCCAGTGTGTCCTTGGGCTACTTATCTAACAAATAGTGAAGTAAGATTGAGCTAATTACTATTCAAGCTGATCAACAGAAAAAAAAGTTACAGATACTGCAGTTCCACAAACACTCAGAGTGCTGTGCTCCAAAGACCAGGTGGCCCACGCTGTTCCTGCTGCCCAAACGCAGCCTCCCAACACATCAGTGAGGGCGGGCTGGTCAGGAGCCAACCCCTAACAGAGACGTTTCCCCTACACATCCTTTCTCTGAGATAAGCAATTAATTTAATCCAGGACTTAATGAAAGCCAGGAGAAAGGATGGAACAGATTCATATACTGGCTTTCAGGCTGTCCCATGCATCTCCACCTCTCTCCAGGGACCACGAGGGTTTTTTTGTTTGTTTGTTTTAGACATTGTTTTGCTCTTACTGCCCAGGCTGGAGGGCAATGGCGAGATCTCGGCTCACTGCAACCTCTGCCTCCCGAGTTCAAGTGATTCTCCTGTCTCAGCCTCCCGAGTAGCTGGGATTACAGGCATGCGCCACCACGCCCGGCTAATTTTGTATTTTTAGTAGAGACAGGGTTTCTACGTTGATCAGGCTAGTCTCGAACTCCCGACCTCTGGTGATCCGCCTGCCTCGGCCTCCCAAAGTGCTGGGATTACAGGCGTGGGCCACCGCTCCCGAGGCTTTTTGATCCATCTGCTATAATCCCCCTTCCCACAAATGTCCCGATTGGGCACCAACACCTCTGAGGAGGGTAAGTTGTTGCCAAGCCCGACCGCAGTCGCGCCCCGCACTGCCAGCTTCACACCCACGGGCCTTCTGCAAATATCAACAAACGGCCCCATTTGTGGAGCACTCTCCGATCCCCCATCCACCCCCCTACACTTGCCCATTCACAGCTCGATCTGATTCCACATCTCTCCTAATTTTACTTGTTGAATGCTTACAAAGGATCCCTGCCTTCCCACAAAGACACTGGCTGGCCAGGCGGTGATAACCTCACTCTCCCACAGAGCCCCCTCGCAATCGCTGAACGCACAGCTGAAGCGGGAAATATGGCTCCACGTCCTGCACAGCGAATCCTTTACCATCCACAGGTACAATTTAAAAGGCAGCTGCGGCTGCAAAGCAGGCAACCTACCCTAAGCAAATCCATTCTCTCTCTCTCTCTCTCTCTCTCTCTCTCTCTCTCTCTCTCTCTCTAAGATTGAGCCAATTACTATTCAAGCTGACTGAACAGAAAAAGAGTTACAGATACTGCAAACCTACAACTCAGAGGCAGGGTAAGACTAAAGATTAAGGCTGCACGCTTGCTACTGTAAGCAAAATGTGCCTCCAATATATTAGTGTGATGATAATCAGAGCACACCGCTTTACAGAGGATGTGTTCCTGCATACATTCTTCTGCTAGAGGAGTAATAATAATTAGACTTAATGTGCTAGGAGAAAGATAAGCAGATCAAGCTGCTTGTTAATCCAATGCATCCCACTTCTGTGATCCAATGTATTTGTTTGTTTGTTTGTAGCATTGTTTTGCTGATTGCCCAGGCTGAGGCAATGGTATCCCAATCACTCGCAAATCTCTGCTTCTGAATCCAAGTGATTCTGTTCAGCCTTCCTCTTATAGGCTAGGATTATAGGGCAATGCACACACGCCAAGCTATTTTTGAATTTTTGTAAGAGATGTATTTGATGTTGATTGGGCTGACTCTTTGACCCGGTCCCCAAAAGACTCCTTGCACCTGTCATCCCAAAGATGCTGATTTTTATGTGATGCCATCATCACACTGAGCTTGATCTCAATCATATAATTTCTCACTTAGACAAATAGTAAGTCCATTGGCGCCCCATCACTGTTGAGGAGGTAGCAGCCAATGTCAATGTGAAATCACCTTGCACTTATTGTTTTCTTATTACTTGATGTGTACCTTCGCAATAATGCCGGACAACGCCGTGATTTGTAGAGCAGCCGTCCTAATTGTCCGCCTTGACGCAAGCATTACAGTTGCCGGCCTGATTCATGTCTCTGGCTTATTTGTTAATGCTGCCGTGATTGCTTCACAAAGTAGTCAATGGACGCCTGCAGAGCAAGATGTAATGCCACACCTATTGTAAATCCATCTGCAATCGACATATTAGGGGCGGAATATGTATCTGTCTGCATGTATAACCCTTTTGCACACCATAAATATTAAATATGCTGCATTGCAAAGAGCAATGACTTTATGCAGGGACCCATTCTCTCTCTCTCTCTCTCTCTCTCTCTCTCTCTCTCTCTCTCTCTCTTTTTCTTTCTCTGTGTGTGTGTGTGTGTGTGCAGGCAACCTACCCTAAGCAAATCCATTCTCTGTGTGTATATGTGTGTGTGTGACAAACCCAGCTTATTTAAAAGATCAGGACATATGCAAGTTCACCAGCAAAAGCAACGTCGTGGGTCTACATCACACGGTCCTAACCTGCGCATCCAGGAATGTTAACCTGCACTCGGGCTGCCCCGCGGCCAGGCCCGGGACTCCCGGAGGCGTCAGGCTGCAGGTGGCTGCCAAGAGGAGCCAGCCCCGTCTCCGGGAAAGGCCGCGAAGTTGCGGCCGCCTGCTTACCTGGAGACCAACCGGCTCAGGACCACCCGGGAAGGGGGATCCCGGGAGCTTGAATCTCGGCTGGAATCCGGTGGCGGGAGTGCGGGGTCCGTGCGGGAGAGGGCTGAAGGGGCAGAGGCGAGGTTGAGGCGGGCTCCGCGGGACAGTGCGGGGCTGCAGGGGACGAGGGCTTGGAGACAGAGCCGGGGGTTCGCAGCGGGCGTGGGACGGCGCCAGCGCTGGCAGAGGGGGCTACGGGGCGGGCGCTGGGGCTGGGACACCGGGCGCACGGGGGGAGTGGCAGCGGAGAGGGCGCAAGTTCTAGGCTCTGGGGCGAGCGGGGGAATAAAGGAGGAGGCTTAGTCGCGGGATTCAGAACCGACGCTTCGAAGCGCCCCCAGCCTTCCCGCCCCTCTCCCACTGGCGAGTTAGGGGTACCCCGGCAGTCTTCCAACCCCGGACCCCGGATGCCCACCCGCCTCGAGCCTCTGCGCTGCTCAGCCCCAACGGCAACCGCCCCGGCCCAGGCCCGCGCCGCACTCACCGCCCATGGTCCCAGGCCGGCCCCAGCTCCGCCGCTGCGCGCCCGGCTCGGCGCTCGCCGCCAGCTCCTCCTGGCGCTAGGGGAGGCGAGGGCGGCACACACCGGCCACCGGGCAACTCGCGGGGCCCGGCAGCGCCCCCTGCCGACCCCGCCGTGCCCCGGCTCAGCTCGGCCCGCCCAGCACCAGGCGCCCCGGAGCTCCGCCCTGGAGGCGGTGTTGCCGTGAGACTGGGTGGGGGCGACCGCGCGGGGTTGCTGGAAGACGTTGCCTCTGGGAGGCCCAACACAGCCCCGAGAGACTGGTCAGTCTGCAGAGCCCTCGGCGTGCAAAGCCACGGGCACGGACACGCCAAGCGCGCGGGGACCACGACCACAGACGCCTGGGGCCCCTGCGCGCTTCACAACTCCCGACCTACGGACGCGCGCCAAGGCCCAGGAACACAGCCCTGGCCGGCCCGGGCCCTGGTGTGGGTGCTTTGGGGCCATGTGCCTGCCCCGGCGCCGCTGATCCTATCGCCGGGTGGGCGCGAGCGTCTGGAGTCCGCCTGCTGCCACGTAGACCCAAACTGTCACCCCCAACCACCCACCCGTTTCGGCCTATCCCACACTTCTCTTCCGGCTCAGAACACATCCGGCCTTGTGTTGCTCTAGTCCTCGCTGCTGCTCCATCTGCAACTGCCTGCAGGGACCCGGGGAGGTCGCGGCCCTGCGCAGTCGCCCTTCCCACCTGCTCCCGGCTTCCTTGGAGCAGCTGCTGAAGAGCCTCAGAGCACTTGAGGGCTGCCTGTAACGCCCCGTTAGACATCTGATAGGCGCACGGTTGTATTTGGTTTGATCAGTATTTGTGGGTCATTTATTGCAAATGTTAGGTTCCAGCTGGTGGAGATTCCCACCGGATTTCTCTGTGGGAGATGAAACGACCAACAGCAATTGTCAGAGAGGCCTCTGCTGTCAGCTCGAGGTCTACAGCTGTGTGACCTAGCACAACTAGCCTCAGGCAAAATAGATATGGATTCGAATTTGCTGCTATATACCTTTAAGGTGCACTTTTGGGAGGATCTTATTCCTTGACCTCTGCTTTCTCTCCTTTATTGATGACTCTCAAATCCACACACTTGGCCCGGATATGTTAGCCATATTTCCCCCTACCCTCCGGTTTTTTTCTTAGAACTTTCCGCCTCAAGTTACCACGTCTGGCACCAAATTTTACCTCTTGTAAGCTCCCAGCTCCATTTATCCCCATGGTTTCGCCATTCTCTCAGCCACCGGGCATGCCTTCTTCATCAGGTGCCTTAATGGCTCGTCAGTACCTGACTTCGCTGCCTGTCCCCCTCTGGTATTCCCCCGATGCGGCGCTATCCTGGGCCTTCTTTCTGCCCTGAATACTGACAGCCTCTCCCAATCCATGAGCATGAAATCTTTTCACTGTCCCCTTTAGCATCACCCCCAACTCTCCCACCTGGCCCCCACAGAAGCCCACCCCAGCCCACCCAACAATGTCTCCTCTCTCCCTTCTGATTGTCCTCTCACCGATTCCAGGCTCTACTGCTTAGTTCACACTGTCACCCTCTTCTCTACATGGGTTAGTCAAGGTGCTTTCTGCTGTAAAAGACAACCCAATTCACACTAGCTTAAACCACAAAAGGTTGATGGGCTATGTACATGAAGAGCCTGCCTGCTTTAGGCCTGGCTTTAGTCCCAGGGTCTCAGGGACTCCCCCTGTCAGCTTTGCTTTCTTCCACATGAGCTATGCTTTCACGCGCACATGAGACCCTGGCAGATCCAGGCTCACAGCCTCACAGCTCTAGTTCTAGCAGAAAATCAGCTTCTCTGCCAGCCATTGCAACTAGCCTTGGACCTGGCTTTGTTTGCAGGATCGGGCCACATGTCCATGCTGGTGCTGTCAGCCTCTGTGACTCCATGGCAGCTGGGTTCACTCGTGGACACACTGTCACCCTCTGCATGGAGCATGTGGGCACTCCTGGATCCCTTCTCTGTCACAAGGGGACTAAAGGTAACTCAGGACACCATCTCTAGCCATTTCTCTGCAAAATTTGCCACACCAGCGCTTTGCTTGATGGCGCAGGGCATACTGTGGGGGCAGAGTCTCAGCCCAGAGATAAAACACAGGCCCTCTCTGCTTTCAGTTTCCTCCTTAACCTATCTGAGGTCTGTGTCTTTGTACCACCCCCTTCGCTAGGTCCACACTTGGTATAGGGATGGCCTCAGGCCCTCATGGAATCAGACATCATACACTTCCTAGACTCATGTCCTGTTTCTTTCCCTTACCTTCCCAGTTCCCTGAGGATGTCTATGCTACCTTCCATTCTAGAGGAGGTATCTCCTCCCTCTTCCTGTGGACTCTGAGTTCTGAGTGGTACCCACCGAGCCTTAATGGAGAAAGGGGCTACAGGGAAGGAAAAAGAAAAGCTTCCTACAGGGAAAATAGATATGGGGAAGCCTCTCAAGACCATTACTCCCATTAAATCTCTTTCCTCCGTGGTTGCTGAAGAGGTAGGATGGCAGCCTGACACAGCTGGGGACCATCTGGCCGGCACCTGGGGAGACTGTGCCAGAGACTGCAGCTGACAGAGGAAAGCAGAGTGGTGAAATAGGCCGATTTCTTTCTTTCTTTTTTATTTACCTTCACAAGAGAATGGATGTCATAGGCAGGTTTCTGCTGTGCCTGAATCCCACATACCACTGGATTTTTCAAGCACATGTTCCAGTAAATACCCCATTTTCCCCTAAGCAAATTAGAATTGGATTTCTCTGTCACTTGCAACCAAGAGAGTCTTGACTAGTATAAGCCCCTAGTATAGGACCTCACACATCAGTTCCTGTAAAATAGTAACTATCATCACCATTAGTAATCTGATAAATGAGCAAGCCATCCTCTTTGGTGACTGTAAACTGTAGAAATGAAAAGTGCATGCTGTGTGCTCAATAACTTTTGTCTCCCCTCCTATTCCCAGCCTGCTCCTTTGTCCTTTGCAAATTCACATCTTGACCTCCAAGGAAACCCTCAACATTCATTAAAAGCAGAGCCCACCCATCTTATAAAAATAGTCCCAGGCTCACCCAAGTCATGAATATTCTGCTAGGCAGCATTTGCTGCCATTTTACACAAGTAATCCCTTCCTAGACTATAAGCAACTGGGAGCAGGTGTCCAGCTTCAATTCACTTTCAAGCCTTTGAGCAAAAATTGTACAAATATTTGCACAGCCTCCTTTGTCCTGTACTGTAGACTTAGAGAAACAATGAACTACTGCCTGTACACTTAAAGGGACTTTACCACGGGGAAAGACAAATAGTCTAGGACAGAGACTGAGGTAACGGATGACAATACCAGGGAGTCCTCTAGGGGATGGAGGTGGGGTGGTTATTTGCACCATGTTCTAAGTTCCAAAGGCCTGTGCTGCCTGCAGTCTTGACTTATGACAGATTTTATACATCCACACTAAACATTTCTCTGTGCCCATCACAGTATCCAGATAATACATTTCATTTCAAAATTCCATTTACCATGGGTTTTGTTTTTCCGATTACAAAAGAAGTACCTATTCATTGTTGAAACTTGGAAAAATACAAAGCACACAAAAATAAAGATTAAAGCTAAAATTATACATAATAGATTTATGTTGATTAATATAAATCTATCTGAGAACATCAAACTATGATGTAAAGAGAGAAGATTGTCTCATTCACACTTCTACCCCATACCTGGCAACCACAGGGCCTCAGGGAGATAAATATCTTGCAAAAAGCTAAAGGTCATCTCTTAGCTTCTTGCAGAAATGCTGCACTCTCTCTAACACATGTGTAGTTTTTAAAAATGCAATTCAGGCCAGCTCCAGGGTGGTCTGTTCTCTATTATTTATGTATGCATGATTCATTTTACTGACTACCAGCTGTAATCCCTTCTCCCCACCCCTAGCAGGCCTATTATGCAAGTCCCTTCCCCCTCCTGAGAGCAACTAAGGAGGCAAACTCATTTTCCCATCTATCTGGGTGAAATTTAATTAGAAAGCCAAATCTGGAAGAACAGAACACAAAATAACCACATTAAATAAAAATAAGAGATGGCTCTGAACTTGACCTTGAGCCAAAGAATCACAAAGAACTGCAGTAATTTGCTGAATCATAGATCTAAATATTCATTTTTGTCTTCTAACCTCTAAGCCCAACTGAAAGAGGCTTCTAAAGAAAAAAAGAAACAAACAAGTACTAGATGAACACACATAAATCACATTTACAAGTCATAAAAGGGACCAGGCGCGGTGGCTCACACCTGTAATCCCAGCACTTTGGGAGGCTGAAGCGGGTGCATCACGAGGTCAGGAGATCAAGACCATCCTGGCTAACACGGTGAAACCCCATTTCTACTAAAAATACAAAAAATTAGCCAGGCATGCTGGTGGGCACCTGTAGTCCCAGCTAATTGGGATGCTGAAGCAGGAGAACGGCGTGAACACAGCAGGCAGAGCTTGCAGTGAGTCCAGATTGTGCCACTGCACTCCAGCCTGTGCTACAGGGCAAGACTCTGTCTCAAAAAAAAAAAAAAAAAAAAAAAAGGTCATAGAAGGACAACAGGGTAACTCTGGCTTTCTATTCCATCTAAAACAATGCCAGGCACATAGTAGGTACTGTATGAAAATTAGATGAATGGATAGATGGGCTAAAAGACCATACTTCTTGTTTTACAATGGAATGTTAATCAGAAAGGAGATGAGAGGAGATTGAGCAGCTGATAGAGCTTTCTGTAGTCTCATGGCCACTTGAGAAACAGCAATTGTAGTTCGGGGTCCATGAGAGATGGGGCCTAGGCTATACCCTAGACTTCCAGTTAGGACCCAAAGGAGAAAGATTAGAAGCTGGAAAACAGCCTTATAATGCTGTAAGTCATTGCCAATGTAGAATTCTATGCCCAGAGTAAACAAGAGACAGAGAAGAATCAACTTGCCCAAAATCAGTCACAAAATTAGAATTAGGTAGTGGGAGACCCAGCACTAGAATCCAGGCCTCCTGAACGTTTCAGGGCCCTTCTCACTAAACTGCACTGGGTTCTTTGCCCCATATATATGTTTTTTAAGC